AAGCTAAAAACATAAATGTAAAACCATGCTTCTTGCGCTGTGCTCAGAATGGAGGACGTTTTGGAATTCCTCCTGGAGAGAGGGTTGACATGGAGAGCATGTCCTGGAAAAGCGGAGGCTAAGTAGCTCATCGAACTACAAATCCAAGAGCTCTCATAATATGGAGCCATGGCAGTTAAAGCTGTGTCAAACTGCATCAGTTCTGCAGTATGGATGCAGCCTGAGTCTGCACTGCAGAAATAATGCAGTTTGATACTGCTTTAACTGCCATGGCTCCATCCTATGGACTCCTAGGATCTGCAGTTTGCTTTGTGGTACCAGAGCTCTCTGACAGAAAAGGCTAAATATCTCACAAAACTGCAAATCCCAGAATTCCATAGCCTTGAGCCAGGGCAGTTAAAGCGGTGTCAAACTGCTTTGATAAATTTCTGCAATGCATTTGAATTAAAATTACCATAATGAAATTAAATGTGAAGTTTCGTTTTTTAATTTTTATTTGGTGTGCATTGGAAGGGGGGTCGTCTTATACGGCAAGTATATCCCAAACTCAATATTTTGACTGGGAAAGTTGGGGGTCGTCTTATACGCCGGAGAATGCAGTACCTAGCTTGTTGGGGGCAATTAGTTTACACACTGTAAACTGCTTAGGGAGTGCTTAGTTCACTGATCAGTGGTATAGAAATGTACTTGCTATTGCTATTGCAATACATCTATGAACTATCTTTCAAAATCTTTAATCTCTTTCTTTTTTCTTTTACAGACAAAAATACTGTACAAACTAGATGATACACCATCACCTTTTAGGAATGTGTACATGCTTACTTAATCCCAAACATGATATTTATAGAGTCCCACAAAGAGGCATGTTTTTACATCATGCTCATTAGGAGACACAGAGAAAGACTGCCAGACATTTTTTGACGGCATTGGTCCTTCAATATTATCTTAAGCAAATATGATTTGCTTTGTAGTTTCTCTCTGAATGTATCACAGTTGCTACCCCTGTCTACCTAGCCCACATGACTTAATAAGCTACAGTTTTGTGGGAGGTATATATGCTGGCCTCCCATTTTGTATTGTGGGTGGTAAAGAAAGAGCCATTGCTCTCTTGGAGCTCTAACATATCAATCTGAGGTACACTAAGAGGGAAAAGGAAAGCCTAGCAGAAACATGATGACAGACTTTTACGCTCCACTGGCAGTTTACAAGATCTTGGCTTATATCACCTGCACCTTGGTGGAGAAAGAAGCATTGCTCCTCTGAACACCCAAAATTGGCAACATAGCTTGTTTTGTTTATCTAGATAAGACCCTCAAAAGGTATATAGACTTTTCTTGTTCTAATACTATCTATCATACATGTTTAAAAATAAACATACCTGTACATCATAGCCATCCCAACCTTTGTTGTGACACTGGACAACGTCAGGGGTGTATGCTGCACATCCAGCTGAACCTCCAGTGCATTGCAACTGAGGCACTGGAGAAGTCCGCCGATAATTTGTGTACTTGCCTGGGTAGAGTGTTAAAGCCTGGACTTCTCTTAACAAGATTCTCTCTGAAAGAATACATATGAGTAGTAAAGAATGCTATGCAAAGCTGGGAGTGAATAGCTTTCCCCCACCACCAACATTAAAAACAAAGAAAAGTTCTTAGAATAATTCTGTTATTGTTTTGTAATGTATTAACTCTTTATGGCAATCCAAAGTGAAGACTAGCCTTAAAAGCCTAAAAGCACGAGATACTATCTGAACTTGGCAGCTAAGCAGGGTCAGTCCTGGTTAGTACTTGGATGGAAACCACATATGAACACCAGGCGGTGTAAGCTATATTTCAGAGAAAGGAACTGGCAAAACCACCTCAGAGTATTCCTTGCCTAAGAAAACCCTATGAAATTCATGGGGTCGCCATAAGTGATCAGCCGACTTGAAGGCTCATACATATACTTAATATAACAGCTGCAAACCACTCTACTGTCTGGAAAGTTAGCATAGAAAGGACTTTTTTATTTCTTTTCATATGTTCTACAAATTCATAAACACTGTTGCATGCTTCTTTTAAAAAGAAGTATGGATTTGATGGACCGGGCCAGTATACTATGCAGTCAAGCATTATGTCCCAAAATCAGTTAGCCACACACTTTTGAACATAAATGAACAGAATACCCAATTCCTATTGTTTGTCAATAATTGTCATCAGAGTTTTACTGTGTCTGGATGCAGATGTTCCATTTAGGCAGCAATCTTCTTGAGGACCTTATTTCCAAGATAGCTGGAAGTACATTGCTTATTGCTGCAGTTAAAAACAGGCTTAAGAACTAATACAGAACAAACGCCTACCTAGAATCAACATCCTTCTTCCAAGATGCCTCCGAAAGCTACCAAGAGACTACAAAAACTACAGCTATGTGGTATGTTCAGCAATTGGCATAGGAAGGTAGACTGCCTCTGACTTATAACAAAAACATCAAAAATCCACAAAACAGATATACATATTGCAAACTTTCGATGCACCACTGGCTTCTTCGTCAGATACAAGTTGTTAATCACACAGATGAAAAAATATATGATGATGTTAGGGGAGATGCAGACGGCCACCCCAGGCCGCCCTGGGCAGCGGAGGATTGGGGCCGAGGCTGCCCCACGTCTCAGCCCCAATCCTCCCTCTTGCCAGCTCTGAAAGGAGTGGCAAAATGCCACTCCTTTCAGAGCCGGCAAATAGGGCACCCTAAGACGCTGCGCTGGTAGGACGTTCTGACGCCGTCCACCATACATAACGCCGCGTGGCGTCAGGATGTCCTCAGGGAGGGACTGGGGCAGCTGGCATGCGGCTGCCCCTCCCCATCCCTGCCTCGAAGACACTGCAAAGGGTCCATCTGCAGAGGCCCTTAGTCACAAGTCTGCATTTTGTCAAGATGTAGCTATTCTCAGTTCAGGTTGTATGAAGGCAGGCCCCTCCTTCTTCTGGCCACATGGGTAGTATTATTACTGTTGTTATTTTACTGCATTTATTTATATCCCACCTTCTTTCAGTACAGGGACTCAAGGCGGCAGGGAGAAATACAATTTAAGTTCTATTAACAAGCCAAAAAGAGATGCTTCTATTGAAATCCAAGTTGCCTCAGTCCTTTGTTAACTACAAGCTCCTTTGTTAGGCAGAGACCACTGAATTTCTAAAGAAGGCCTCC